CGGGCCGGTATCCCAAAACGACAAGTTACTATAGAATGCAGTGTGGGTAGCTCTCACCAAAGACCGGGCTCAGTATAAAAACGTCTATTGTCGATGCTTACGTTAGGGTTTTGATAGGGAATCCCGTCATACGCATCTACGCATAAAAATGATTTTCGAAGAAAAATGATTTTCTTTTAAAAGAAATTTCGTTTTGTTTAAAAAAAGGGGAACTTCGTTCAAAGAGACTTTATGCCTAAATTGAATTCCCAAGTAAATTATGAATTAATTTACATGAATTATTCCCAGAATGATTTTCAAGTAGTTTTCGAAACAAAACCATACTTTTGTTACAATGCTCTCGATTTCAAGAAATATATGTTATGTGCTTATATGTGTAATTATATGCTTGAATATGTGTGACGTGTTTGTAGAGATAACATAATTAGTTGGAAAGGACATAGACGAATACTTTAGGACTCCCATAGGTCGTGAGTGATACGATGAGAGAGGCGTGAGTTCGTCAGACTAAGACTAATGTCCTTACTGAGCCAGTGTTTGGGCTCATGCTTTTATGCAAATTATCTTTTTAGGTTCTCCAAGCTATTTAGGAGGCCGGTGGAGTGGAGTTCGAGGAATCACGAGCTTTGGTGCCTAGATTATTTTACTCAGATTTTATACGCAATGTTTTATCGAAAAACTAATCAACATAGTATGATTTTATTTTTGTACTCTGATTTGGGAACTCAGTCTATTAAACGGGGTTATATTAAATAAAGTTTATTTCCTTCCGCTGTCTTACGAATGTTTTCTAAACCCCGATGATGTTTTGTGTGGATTATTCCGCCACCTCGAGATTTCCTTCAAAATCCCTTTCATGTTATGGTACACTCTCTATGAAAAATATTATTTTCCGATTGTGGGTTAGATTTGAAGTAAAGGGAAATGGTTCTAAAATTTTAAAGTGGTTTTTCTCAAAGTTCAAATTTGTTCCAAAAGGTTTTTAATAAAGTCTGTGTTTTCTAAAATTTCTTTTAAATCATTGAGGGTGCTACATCAGTGGTTTGCAATTTTGAAATTACTAAATATTGTCTTACGATTGTTATATATGTGAGGGTATATTTCGAAATCCAGTTTGGACAAACTTTTATGAATGGAAAAAAAAAGTTGAGGCAAGACTTTTGATTCTTTCTCCGTAAGAAAATATTGGTATGTATTCGTGCTCACGGTTCTAATCAATTGTCCCCAAGATACAATGACTTGTGGGTATTCGAGTTTCCATCACAACAAGGCTCGAAGTACAGTCAAACAAAACAAGAGATTTGGACTTTTTAGACACGAAGAAATGGACTTGATGATTGCAACAATACGCAATGAGATGCTTCAATGAGAAATATATTCTATCATGAATTAAATTCCATGTGAATGAATGAATCAAATGGTGGATTTTTTAATCTATTTATAGATCTTCAAAGGTTATGACCACAAGTCACAACTCTTAGGAAAATGAGCACTTGAAAAGGTACCACACATTTTCACAATTTACACGTATTTCTAAAAGGGTGTTTTAACAACTCCATATTTTTCGAAGGTGACTATTCACCTCTTCAGTTTCCATTTATTGTTTGAAGTCATTTTATTAATTTTTCATTCATCAAAAATAATTTTGAGAAACGAAATTAATCAACTCAAAATTTCCAACACAATGAAGGTGTTAAGATAATTCATTAGGTTGGATGGGATGTGGTCTGTAAACCTAAAGATGAGGGAGGATTGCGCATTCACCCACTCTAAGAAGTGCATGACAGTTTGAAAGGGAAACTTGCTTGAGAAATCTTATAAGGTAAATCCATGTGGGCTAGATTCTCAAGATCAAAGTATGGCGAGTCTATTGGTGATCAGAGTATGTGCATGGATTTGGGGTTGTGGAAAAAAAAAATTCCGCATCTTGTAGTTCTTAAGGGTCTTAGCCGATGGATTGTTGTGAATGGTATAGTTGATTGTTGACACGATAATTGGTGTGGTATTGTATTGAATCCTTCTAAATCTCTGATGATGTACGAAGCATGTGCGAATCGACAACATATTACTCAATTTTTGTCCGTTAACCAGCTACAACTTTTTAATCTCATTCATATTGATCAAGTTATCAGTTGGTTATTTCTAAGAGTGAAAATGGTAAATTTGAAACCTCTTTATACTGGGAAAATCGTCGAGTACCAAACCCTAAACCTCCATGGGCTCCGATCATATGGAATAATTGTATATAGTTCAATGTTTGTGTACTCATGTGGAGAGCTATAAATAATATTGTTCATTTGATCTGAATTTCCGAAGAAAATAGCTTAATTTCCCATATCTAAAAGAGGTGTCTTTGCAGTACCTTCTGGTGTCCTCGGAATTTTCTCAAAGTTTTCGGAGTTATTTAGGGGATATCCTCCATGTTTCCGAGAGTTTCGTATCCTTCCACCATCTATTCAATACGTACACTTTGGGCTCTCCGACAACCGAATAACTTAGTCTAATCTCTACTGGCATTATTTTCTTTGTTTGTTGGGAAATATGAAAGACTAGGTGCAAAAAGTTGTATGAAGAAGAATGGTTAGCGTACAAATCTTCAAAAAAGCTCATTATTATATTTTTTTCGTTCCTTACCCTCCAAAGATACAAAGCATGTGTCGGTGTAGAGTACGATTATTATCCAATGATTGGGTGTGCAGATTCAACAACCTATTATTTCTTTTGAAAGCTTGGTTCGTTGACCAATGACTCATAACTTTAAGATTAACATAGTTGGAGCTACAAAATGGTTCTTTTATTCTGTTGGTGGTGTCTTAAGAGATCCAAGGAATGGTTATGACAGTTTTTTTCCAATTTTTATGGTACTAACAACATCTTCCATGCTGAAGCTCGTGCTTTTCTTGAAGGGATATTACTATGCAAGGCTATGGGATGTTAACCGATAGACATACTGTGAATTGGAAAATCATTTATCTTCTTCGTCAAATCAATCATGAAAAACAACCTAGATGGTCCAACCATCACTTTCATCGAGATCATAAAGTGCGGCAGATCAACTTGCGAAAGATGGGTTGAAACACCAGCAATCTCAAGATTTTAATCCGCATACTTTCCATAGCAAAATTAATCATTTGTTGTACTTCGATAGAATCGAATTGTGTAATTTCCATAGAAAGTAGATTTAGGGGTACTCTTTCCTTGTTTGGCAATCAAGATTTTAACGAGGCCCCATTGTAGTTCTTTTCAATCACTAAAGCTATTTTTCTTGCCAAAAAAAAAAGTAAAATCATTGAACTACAAAAAAAAATTAGGACTGACAATCGGGCTATGTGAGCCGAGCTTGGGTTGACTCAAGCTGAGATATCACCAAGCCTTATTACTATATGCTCAAACTCAAATATCATCGGTCTTCATGGTTATAGGATCAAACTCGGCTGATGTATTTATTCGGGTCTCGGATTTATATGGGGCTTATATCGAGCCATATAAACATTATAACTTTACAACTTAGTAGCTAAACGTCTTCAAGAAAAATAAAATTTTGCAGCCGAGAGAAAAATCAAAAATATTCATGAAGAACTAAATAAGATAAAAAATCATAGTTTGTTTCATAAATTAGAATATTCATTTGATTACTATTTGACTAGTTGCCACCGCCACCACTTAATTTTTTTTTTTTAACTTTTTCTGTTTTTTTTTTCTCAAAATAAAATAATTATATACGATTGAAAGTGGTAACTTTTATGTGGAGCCATATCATTAAAATAATAAATATATGTAGTATATTTAATTATTACTTTAACCGGCGCGGACTTAGATCGAGTTGAGCCATAGTAGGTTTAAACTCGACTCATAAATGAATTGGTTTTAATAAAATAGCTCTTACTTATGCCGATTCACTAAAAATTAGGTTCAACTCAAATATAATTTGGCTGAGTCTTTGGGTTCTGACTAGCCCTGGCTCAATTGGTTGGTCATAGTTTCTATGTTGTTTACACATATAAATATAAATAATTACTTGTTTTAATAGATTGTTAGCAAAAATAGATTAAATATTGTGTATAAAAAATTTTATGATGAATATTAATATAAATAAACTACAAAAAGTAAAAAAAAAAAAAAAACTAAAATTAAATGAATAAGTAATATATTTTGATTATATATATATATATATATATATATATATATATATATATATATATATATATATATATATATATATATATTATGAACATTACATAAACCTAAGAAATTGATCAATTTATTCACACACATGAGGAAAGATTTAGGAAATGTATCATAATTTCTTGGTGTTGAAGCTTTGTTGGACTATTAGACTTTTCTTTTATATGCATGAAGCAAAGCAACTTATATAAATGTGATAATTTTTCCAACCTCCACTTTATACAAATACCGTTAGTGGAAATCGTTATGTTCTGTTATATATAACCCCTAAAGTTCTCTTTCTTTTTTTTTTTTTTTTTAAATATATGAAATTAGTTTGTATAAATAGGTGGGTGATTTGTTTGGTGCAGCGGAAAACGTGGAGGTGAATCTGAATCAATGTAATTATTTTGTACGTGAACATACATTATTGAATCCATTGAGGGCTAATTAATAATATTAACAAGAATGGCATCTATGTCTGAGTTTGAGTTTGACCCCCCTCTCTCTCTTTCTCTCTCCTTCTCTCTCTCTCTAGCTCACAATTCCAATCCAAATCAAATAAAGAGATTTTCATATTCCTGGAGAGATTGACTAGGGAACGGGGAGGGAGACTCGCATTCATTCTATAAAATATTATATAATTAGAAAAAATCAATTATCCTTTTTTTCATTTCATAATTAATATTTTGCCAAAACTAGGATCAGGGGTTTGCTTCTTCATCTTTGGCCTTTTGCCTTTCAGGCCTAAAAACTCTGTACGTAATGTTTTTCCCTCAATTTTCAATTTGATCAATGGCCTTTGAATTTTTTTTTACACGTTTCCTTCATTTCAATTAATATTAATGATAATGTTTATATTTGTTTGTTTTGTGTTTGTTAATAATTGGCAGATGAAAGGCTAACAAGAAATCGTTTGTATGCATGTGTGGGTGGAGGAATATTATGGACATCTCTGTTTGTTAAGCAAAACAAAGATGCCATTAACCGTGAATTCGCCCACCCTACCTACCCACAACCACCTCGACAAGCCACGGATTGGTGGTTCCGATGACCCTCCACCGCGCTTGTATCAACTATGGAAAGGAAGAAATGTACGTTTTATGTTTAATAATTACCATTCGTCGTTAAATAAAAATAATAATACTCCGAGATTAATGAATCGAAGCATGCAAAACTTAAGTTAAATTGCATTTGCAGAAATTCATGTTTGGTGGGAGATTGATATTTGGTCCAGACTACAAGTCTCTGTTCCTCACAATGTCACTAATCCTGGCTCCACTAATCTTGTTTTGGACGTTTGTTGCTAAGGGCCTTATCGTTTCGTTTCCCCCTCGATGGGGCCTTTTTATCATCTCTCTCTCTTTTATTTTCACTGCATATGTGAGTTCTCTTCTTTTTTTATATAATTATAAATATATCTCACTTATGTTTCATGCATATATGTAGTTACTTATTTGAATCGTGATGAATGAATGCAGATAATGATTCTTCTGTTTATGACTTCTGGAAGAGATCCCGGTATTATACCCAGAAATACTCAACCACCTGAAAATGAAGATTATGATTCTTCCAACTTATCGACAGAATGGGGAACCGGCAGTCAAAATAGTTCTTCTATTATACCACTCACTAAGAATATAATGATCAATGGTATATTTGTGAAGGTCAAATATTGTCAAACATGCATGTTATATCGCCCTCCACGGTGCTCACACTGCTCCATATGTAATAACTGTGTCGAACGTTTTGACCACCATTGCCCATGGGTCGGCCAATGCATTGGAAAGGTTACTCCATATCCATTCCCTTTCTCTAGATATATTTATTTTTGCTATATTTAAAATTTTTGAGCTAAATATATGACCGCGAGTTTATGGCTCTATAACAGAGGAATTACATGTACTTTTTCATGTTCGTGTCCTCTACGACACTCCTATGCGTGTTTGTTCTAGCTTCGTGCTCGATAAACATCAACAGGATAATGAATGAGAACAATTGTAGCATTTGGATGGCTATCCAAGAGTCACCTGCTTCTGGATTTCTCATCATGTATACATTTGTTGTCGGTTGGTTTGTTGGTGGCCTCACTGCATTTCACTTGTACTTAATTGCCACAAACCAGGTATTTATGTGTGTGTGTGTGTGTGTGTGTGTCTATATATATATATATATATATATATATATATATATATATATATATATATATATATATATATATATATATATTCTTTTCACTTTTTTTTCGGTTGCTATTTTTGTTGTTGATGCATTTGTCCAATTTTGATTTTTATTGATGTACAGACAACGTATGAAAATTTCCGGTATCAATATGACCAAAAGTTGAATCCTTATAACCTCGGATGTTGTGGAAATTTTAAGGAAGTGTTTTGCGCAAAGATACCGAATTCGCGGAATAACTTTAGGGAGAAAAAGAGTAAAGAAAATTCATCGGCAGGGTTTAATGTGTCACCTTACTTGGGTCGGACAATAAGCGCCGAGACGACGTCAAAGAGTGTAGAGATGGAAAAAAGGCAGAGTGTTGATGCAGATGAAATTGAGGTTGTTATAAGTAACCATCATGTTGAAAGTTTATCGAGACAAGATGATTTGGAAGAAAGACAAGAGATGCGTGTTTGAAACTAAGGATAAAGATCGATCATCAATTAATTGTGTACGTTTTGCAGTATGTAGATTATCTTTCTTGGAGATAATTAGCAGGTGCTGACTTAATTGCATGCAATATTCATGCACATGTTTTAAAATCAAAAGTACTTACTGGTGAAGAGGAAATATATGTGTTATTCTATCTCGGCCAAGTGATGGTACCAAAATCTACGTTCCTATAAATCTTGATTTGTTGTATAGCCTTAGAGCATAAGCTTTTCCTAATATTTTTCATATTAATAGAGGTTTTCTTAGCAATAAGTAAAACGATATATCTGTTTTTGTATGTAAAGTTAGAAAGTTAGCAGAACTTAGTTAATTATTGTTTTTAAAAAAAGATATATTTTATGTAGTTATTGTTGTTTTGTTTAGAGCAACGCATCCTCATCAACAGTTTCGAAACTGTGTGGGTGATATGAATAGATTTGTAGGGAGTTTAGTCTTTAATGTATATGTATTATGACTTGTGAGTTTTGGTATATATGTTCTGTTAGAAATTTATCTATAAACATATAAGAATCCCAAAAACTAACATACCAAACGAGAATTGTACAGAAATGTAAACATGGAAACGTAATCATTGAATCTCCACTGGTTTTGGGGTGGGCCTTTCAGAGAATCCGCAATTCTATGGGTTAGGACCATAATATTAATCCAATATCTACTAGTCCAATCTGCATAACTTTATTTGACCATATTTAATTGGATTAAGTATACGTTACATAACGATACACATTTAAATCACATCTGCAACATGTTAATTTTCTATTAGCGCCATTTACTTATGATTGTTCCTCTCTTGGCAAGTGCACTTTGTGTTAGTGCATCCCGTTAATATGATTTTCATTTTGAAAAGAAGGGGAAATTTGCTAAACACCCTCCAAGTATAATGTTTTTATTTGTATCAGGACAGTCGCAATTCTCCATTTTGCTGATAGTCCTCTAATATTGTACAAACGAATTTGCCCGATCTTTCTCAACATCAAAAATGAATTTACCCCGAACCATTTTCCTCTCTTCTCTCTTTCCCTCTATGTTTTCTGTGCGTATTGCTCCTCGAGTTCTCGATCTTCTGTCACCAAATTTGATCACTGATGCTCTCTCATCCACCCCTCACTCGCTACCATAACCGCCTGCTTCGATCTGCTCCATCCCACTCCATGCCGCTACACACAATCATACACACACGCACCCATCGGGTGCACACAGGCGTGCGCGCGCGCACACACACACACTGCCACATACATTGGCTCACCCGCACACAATGTGCCTGACTAGCAGTATGAGAAGTAATCTCCATTTAATGAGTTGATTGAGAAATTGGTGGGAATGGGTTACATGAGTACTGACATATCGTTGGCATGATTTAAAGGATAGAGGAGAATGGTTTGATTGAAATTATGTGCTTGAAGTAATGTTTGATAGTAGCACGAATTGATTTGATTCTGTCCAATCTGAATCCTTATTCTTATTATTGGTCTTAGGGGTGTGCACGGGTCGGTTCGGCTCGGTTTAGCCAAAAACCGAACCGAACCGAATATATCGGTTTTTGTAAAATTAAAAACCGTGTATGTCGGTTTTTTATTGGTTCGGTTTCGGTTCGGTTTCGGTTTTTTTCGGTTCGGTTTCGGTTATTTTTCGGTTCAAGAGTAACTATACATTCAAGTTGTACAAACAAAAGAATACAATTACAATTACTTTCACAACTTACTAATGCAATGAAAATATAAAATCTTTAATTTCATAGGACTTAACGTAATTTAGATGATGTATTATGCTTCATTTTTTTTTTCCTACTTTCATCTACCACATTATTAAAACCATGAACTCAAGTAAATTTTTAATTACTAAATAAATAAAATACAATGCCTCAATTATTTATGAACAAATGCTTAGAATGAGACAAGTAATTGAAAGATAGAAAATAAATATTAGGGTAAAATAATACATATATTATATAAAATGAAGTCATTTTATAGTTTCGGTTCGGTTCGGTTTTTCGGTTCGGTTATTTACCTTTCCACCATACCGAACCGAATAATTCGGTATTTCAAAAATAAAAAACCGTACATGCGGTTTGCTATTCGGTACGGTTTAAAACGGTTCGGTTTTTCGGTTTTTTTTGCTCACCCCTAATTGGTCTAATAAAAGATAGGACACACAACTCAGTGAAAGACAATATAATTTTGGACAGATGTTTGTTTTTTAAAGTACTCTTATCCATGAATGTAATTACTAATTAGGCTCTTTCAACGGCTATATGTTCACGTATCTTTAAGTGAACTCTCTTCTAAAACTGCTTGAAATGCATGTTTGTATGCTAAATTTATGGTCATGAGTGTAAATAAGTTATCCAAATAAGCTCTCTATTCAGTTCTTTTTAACTATGGTCGCTGACTAAGTTTGGTTACTAAGCCATTAATTAAGATCTCTAAACAATTCTATAACTAAACAATTTATTTACTTTCTGAACAACTATATAGGAGGGCCTAAATATCTTTTCATCAATAAAAAATAAAACTGCGTTCACCCCTAAATTCATCATTTGTAATAGCCCTACCAGTTTTTATTCCAATAATACCCCTCACATAAATAAATTAACATTAATCATTATTTTGACTGCATTGATTATTTTTGAATTGTTTTATATTTTTTGTATTTTTCTAATATCTCAAAAAACAGTTCCTCAATCTTTTTTTTTCTCGATAAGTTTACTACATCGAATATGATTGTTAACCACAAATTAAAATGTCTGCAAAATAAATTACAAGACAAAAAAAAAATAGGAACAAATAAATATTTGATCAAGGGAAAATAGGTTACAATCTTTGTTGATTCCTCTGGTTCTTCCTCTAGATTTAATCCAATGGTCGAAGCTTGTTCTTGAATTGAAAGCTTGATTCCTTCCTTATTTGCGGAAGTAGATATGGATATCTAGAAATCGATTTGGGGATTTCTAGGTCTTGTGGATATGGTGCCTTGATGAAGATGTAGAACCTCCGCGGTTGTTGTTCTTCGTCGTGGCAAGAGCTCGAGACTTGAGAGTTTTTGAGTGCTTAATGTACGCCTTGCTTGATGCTTGTGTCCTTGTATTTTTGTATATATTGCTTGTAGGTGTTTGTGATTTGACGGTGCAAATTTGAGCTTCAAGCATATGTGAGGTTGTGAAAGCCGCAGAGAAAATCTGATGAATAGACGCTCGTTATTGCAGCATCAAATTTAAATGTATGCAAAATAAATTACAAGACAAGAAAAAAATAGGATAAATAAATATTTTGGTTACAATCTTTGTTGATTCCTCTGATTCGTCTCCTAGATTTAATCCAATGGCCAAAACTTGTTCTTGAATTGAAAGATTGATTTCCTCCTTGGTTTGCGGAAGTAGACATGGATATCTAGAAATCGGTTTTGGGATTTCTAGGTCTTGTGGATATGGTGCCTTGATAAAGATGTTGAACCTCCGCGGTTGTTGTTCTTCATCGTGGCAAGAAATCGAGACTTAAGAGTTTTTTAGTGCTTGATGTACGCCTTGGTTGATGCTTGTGTCCTTGTATCTTTGTATATATTGCTTGATGATGATGTTGAAGAGGAAGAAAATGAGGAGGAAAAATAATGCATAATAAGGATGCAATTTGTTACATAAATTTTCTTACCGACCAATTCAAGGAAATCACATATCATGAAGATTCTCAATAATAAGAAAAGACTTCATATTAGCCAAATCTACAATTAACAACAAGTTCAAAACTGACAAAATGGATTTCCATTTGACGGCTTAGGAAAACAACAACCATTAGCCATTTTTTTTTCTTTTCATTCACACTAGGAAGCGGCTAAAACAAATAACGTTTTTTTCTTACTTCAATACCACCAACATAAAAAATAAAAAATAAATAGATAATAAATAGGTAATGATATTATTACCATTAATGAAAATAAATACCACACACAAAATTTGTGTGGTATGGATTTTATTAAGGATATTAACGTAATTATCTATTTATTTTCTATTTTTTCTGTTGGTGGTATTGAAGTGAGAAAGAAACTGTATTTATTTTAGTCGTCCCTTCACATTACCCATCAAGGAGCTAATCGAAGAGACTAAGAATATTTTGATATTGGCAAAATGACTATGTGTGACTATATATGTCCTGTTGACAAATTTTAAAAAGTGAAGCATAATTTGTCCTGTTGACAAATTTTAAAAAGTGAAGCATAATTTCTTCGTTAGACCGTTTGTTTTATAAATCATTTTTTTTTTAAATATGGGACTAAAATCAACTCTTGTCAGTCAAATCAGATTAATTTACAAAATTGACCCTTTATGGTGCATCAAATTTGTACCGGGAGTGCACTTGGCAGACTCTAGAAAACTAAACATAACTTTTTCCTCAAAACTTCTTTTTGTAAAACTTTTTTTGAGTTGTGTGTCACAAAAATTAAAATCAATGTCAATCAAAGCAGTTTAAATTCGAAATTTTCCTTCTGCTGCATCTATTTAGTGCAGACAGTGGCACCTTCTCTGGCAACCGCTTTCGGTTTCCTGTCACCGACGTCACAAGGGTTCGAGAGGAGAGAGATATTTAAATCGAGAAAAAAAAAACTAACATTTACCTTGCAATTGTCAAGACGAGTTTGAACATCCAAGGAACCGTCGCCCACGCCGAACGGCAGTAGTAGCAGCGAGCGGGTGAGTAGATGGTTGTGGATGGAAGAGAAAAGAATGGAAGACAGGGGAGCATACGAGATAGAAACGGTTGTTGGTGAAAATGTGTGGATGGGTTAGGGTTTGTAATGAAATTGTAAAATAGGGATATAACCATTTCAAGGGGGTCTCACTAATTAAACTTGAGATGTGGATGTGAGCAAAAGTCTTTAAAGTCAGTTGGGTCTAGCTCATAATATTTATCAATGTAGCGGGTATTGCATATCACCCCATAAAACAAATCACAAAAAATATAAGAAAACGAGGGCCAGAGACTCTAAACAAATTCAAAAAAACCGGATGGACTTTTACCAATACAAAATAATTTTGATTGAGGTTAAGCTAATTTGCCTATAAAAGAATATTCATCTCTAATATTTGAGTTTTTATCAAAGATAGTTTATCTCTGGTTAACCTTTTTAAGATGGGGTTTTGTGAGGACGTCTTTGACCAACAACCTTTATTGATCTAGGTTTAGATGTTTTATGTATTTTGCCAATAAGACCATTTTTTAATGGGGTTATTTTACATACCCCCTAGCCACCAAATAAACTAGGGATAAACCCAAGCCCAAATCATCATTTGACATACCCTCTGGGGAAGCGAAAGTACTATACTACCCTTATGCAATTTTCGGCCAAACTGCATTAAGCATTTATGGTCCTGCATTTGTCATTTTCGCTGATTTATTTATTATTATTTTCCTTTTTTTTTTATTT